TTTTTTGTTTGTTTTGTATTTGCTTAGGAGTGTTTTACTTCAAATTATATGATCAATTTTAGAGTAAGTCCCATCAGGTGCTGAGAATAATGTATATTCTGTTGTTTCAGGATGGAGAGTTCTGTAGATATCCAGTTCACTTAAATCAGAGCTGAGTTAAAGTCCTGAAAATCCTTGTCAACCTTCTGTCTCAGTGATGTGATATTGACGGTGTGGTATTAAAGTCTCCTATTATTATTGTATGGGAGTCTAAATCTTTTTGTAGATTTCTAAGGACTTGCTTATGAATTTTGTTGTTCTTATATTGGGGCATAGATTTTTAGGATACTTAGCTCCTCTTGTTGACTTGAACCTTTGCCATTATGTAATGTCCTTTTTGGCTTTTTTGATCTTTGTTGGTTTAAAGTCTGTTTTGTCAGAAACTAGGATTTCAGCCCCTGCTTTTTTCTGCTTTTTATTTGTTTGGTAGATTTTTCCCTCATCCTTTTATTTTTAGCCTATGTGTGTTTATGCATGTGAGATGGGTCTCTTGAATGCAGCACACCAATAGGTCTTGACTCTACCCAGCTTGCCATTCTGTGCCTTTTAGTTGGGGCATTTAGCTCATTTACATTTAAGGTTAATATTTTTATGTGTAAATTTGATTCTGTCATCATGATGCTAACTAGTTATTTGCAGACTTGTTGATGTAGTTGCTTTATAGTGTTACTGGTCTTTGTACTTCAATGTGATTTTGTAGTGGCTGGTAACTTTTTAATTTTTTTCCTTTTCATATTTAGTGCTTCCATTAGGAGCTCTTGCAAGATGGGCCTGGTGGTGACAAATTCCCTCAGCATTTGCTTGTCTGAAAAGAATTTTATTTCTCTTTCACTTATGAAGTTTGTTTGGCCATATATGAACTTCTGGGTTGGATATTCTTTTCTTTAAGAATGTTAAATATTGGCCCACAATCTCTTCTGGCTTGTAGGGTTACTGCTGAGAGGTCTGATGTTAGTCTGATAGGCTTCCCTTTGTAGGTTATCTCGCCTTTCTCTCTGGCTGCCTATAATGTTTTTTTCTTTCATTTTGACCAACATTTTTTCTTTCATTTCAACCTCATAGAATCTGATATTATGTGCCTCGGGATTGATCTTCTTATGGAATATCTTCCTGGGGTTCTCTGTATTTCCTGAATTTGAATGTTGGCCTATCTTGCTAGGTTGGGGTGGTACTCCTCAATGATATCTTGAAGTCTTCAAGTATGTTTTCCAACTTGGCTCTGTTCTCTCTGTCTCTCTCAGGTACTTCAGTCAATCAGAGGTTTGGTCTTTTTGCATAACCCTATAGGTCTGGAAGTTTTGTTCATTGAATTTCCTTTTTTTTCCCCCTAATCTTTTCTGCCAGTCTTGTTTCAGCAAGATAGTCTTCAAGCTCTAAAATTCTTTCCTCCACTTGGTCTATTTGGCTATTGATAATTTTGGGTGCACTGTGAAGTTCTCATGTTGTGTTTTTCAGCTCCATCAAGTCATTTATGTTTCTCTCTAAACTGGTTATTCTAGTTAATAGCTCCTGTAATGTTTTATCATGGTTCTTAGCTTTTTTGCATTAGGTTAGGACATGCTTCTTTAGCTCAGTGAAGTTCATTATTACCCATCTTCTGAAGGCTACTTCTGTCAATTTTTTCATCTCAGCCTCTGCCCAGTTCTGTGCCTTAGCCAAAGAGGTGTTGCAATAATTTGGAGGAGAAGAAGCACTCTGGCTTTTTGAGTTTTCAGTGTGTTTTGATTGATTCTTTCTCATCTTCTTGAGTTTATCTAGCTTTGATCTTTGAGGCTGCTGACGTTTGGATGGAGTTTTTGTGAGGACGTTTTTGTAAATGTGTTACTGCTTTCTATTTGTTATTTTTAACAGTCAGGTGCCTCTTCTGGTTTGTTAGGGGTCCACTCCAGACCCTATTTGCCTGGGCCCCATCCACACCTGGAGGTGTCACCAGTGGAGGCTGCAGAACAGCAAAGATGGCTGTCTGCTCCTTCCTGTGGAAACTCAATCCCAGAGGTGCACCAACCTTTTACCAGCAGGAATGGTCCTAAATAAGGTGTCTGGCCACCCTTTTGGGGGGCTCTCACCCAATCAGGAGGCATGGGATCAGGAATCCACTTAAGGAAGCACTCTGGCTGCCCTTTGGCAAAAGGGGTGCACTGTGGTGGGGAATCCCACTCATCTGCACTTCCCAGGTTCCTCAGAGCCATCAGGGGGAAGATTAATTCCACTGATCCATGGAGACCATGGCTGCCCCTTCCCCAAGGGGCTCCATCCGAGGAAGATCAGAGTTCTGTCTGTAAACCCCTAGCTGGAGTTTCTGAAATTCCTGCAGGGAGGCCCCACCCAGTGAGGAGGGATGTGTCAGTTTCCAGCCTAAAGAGGCAGTCTGGCCATGATCTGCCACAGCCACTGCACTGCCCTGTGTGGTATTTCTCCTGGGTCCAAACCTCCCAGTCCTCCTGGCATCAGCAGGGAAAAAGCGGCAGACTGGAGCTGCAATTATGGCTGCCACTCATCCCCACAGGATTCAGTCATTTTAGGAAGCAGGCAGCTGCCCCTCCCTTCAGGAACTTGGTAATCTTAAACAGTCTCCAGCTGAGTGGCTGCTGAGAATCTGTACAGCTCTGTGCTTAGGACCAAAGGCCCTGGTCTCCTGGGCTCAAAAAGGGGATCTCCTGATTTGCAGATTGCACATATCCTTGGAAAAAGCATGGTTTTCCGGGTGGAGTAGCACAATCACTCACCACATTGCTTGGCTGGAGGTGGAAGCTCCCCTTGTTCCTTTCAGCTCCCAGGTGGGCCGTTACTCCACTCTGCTTTTCCTCGCTCTCTGTGGGTTGTGTCAATCTAAGTTCTCTCAGTCCCAATGAGAGAACTTGGATGCTTCAGTTGCTGGTGTAGGACTCATTTGCAGCTTTTTTTCTTCTCTTGTCGTTTTCATTCTTGTCAGTGGGAGCCTCTGGCTGCAGCTATTTCCAGTCGATCATCTTGGTACCTCCCCACAACAATACTTTTTTATAAAGAGTTATTCAGTGAAGATTGAATAAATGGATGAACAGATGTAAGGCTAAGAATATCTTAGATATTTAATGATAGTTAATATGGATATAGGAATAAGATTATTTTTCCAAGGCTCACATGTTATAGAAAAAATCCTTTATATCTCAGGTAGTGGTGGTAGAAATAAGTTACAAATGAAAGTATAATTATTAAATATAATAAATCAAGCTGTATAAAGCTATTGGGTAATCATTTATTAGAGTTAGCAAATACACAGCACAAGTGTTATTATATCTTTTCTTTATCTATGGCAATTATTCTAAGAAATCCTATTCCTCTTTTTTGGGGGATTCAGTTAAAATCTGAGAATCTTTATGTAGTTGTTGTAACTACTACAACATAAGGTGAAACCTGTTTGATATAAAGGCTCTAGTTTATATTTAATAAAAACCAGGAAAAAAGTGGTTACAAGGAATAGTTCTAGTTCTGTCTCATTACTGAAACCTGGCAGTTCTTAACACTTTTCTTCTTAACCATCAAAGTGACTATGTAATATTTAGGTTTACTTTTTTTTTTTTACTTGAACCCCTATATTTTTGTCTTCTTTAATGGGATTAGTGTTTTCTCCACTGTCACTGTAATTCAGAAAGGATTATCTTAATCCTCTTTAAAGTGAGTTTCCTCTTTCTACCTAAGATTGAATTGAAAATTGATTCTTCATTGCCTTGAAATATGACCATCAATTTATTTCTTGTGCAACATTATTAAATATCCCTTGGCAACAGCAATTGTAGATTTTAGGTTTTAATCAAAATTTTCTGATCATACAGGTTACACATTAATTATATTGTCAATTAACTTTGTAATCGCTTATGTAATAGGAGGGCTTTTAAATTTTTGGATGTAGTGTGCTTTGAATAATAGATGAAGTTTTGTTCAAAGAAACAGGCTGTTCAAAACTTCAGTGAACGAGACTGAGAATATAAATTGGACACACTGGATGTTCACTTTTTAATTCTTATATAAAGAAGTACAACACAATATCATATTAGAAATATGTCATTAACTTTTAAAAAAAATTATTTGTCTGTCTGACAAGAGATAACTGTGAACTTACCCTCCTTCTCTTTTGAAGAGTGACTAAAGAGCATGATTAGGCCAAGCTAGAAGGAGTGATAATGTTGTTAATAGAAGACTCTGGTAAATTATCATATTTCATATATAGAAGTCATAGTTGCATTGGCTATGGAACAGGTCCTAGAGCTAGCCAGAAAGCCCATCATGAAGATGAGAACAGAACAATAGAATTAAGGGAAGAGTACAGTGGATCTCTGACTTTATAAGTTTTCTTTTTACTGCTTAGATGCCAAACATCTGAATAAAAACTAAATAATTTATCATCTCATTTATGACTTCTCTGTGAACTCTGACATTTATGTGTTTGAAGCAAAGATGATCTTTATGTATTTGAAGCAAATATGAAATTTATGAAATATGATAATATGAAATTTATGTATTTGAAATATCTTAAAAATAGAAAAAATGTAGCTTAGTGGAAAGATATTAATTTTCTAACCTATCAGAAAAGGATTTGAATCCAATTTTTTCCGCTTATTAGCATAGATCTTAGGCAAGTAAACAAAAAAATTCAGCCACATTTGTAGTATATACAAAAAAAGTGCATGTAAAATGTGAAAAAAATTTGTAAAACAGAAATATGTATCTGTCTTGCCATTTTCAGAATTAGAAATAATGTAAATGCCCATATTGGCACTTATTAATAGTGCTTATTATCATTATTGTTTTTAATGCTATAGTATTATTTATCCTATACTTTAAATGAATAACTACATGCTATACTTGAGTGTTAGTAAATTTTATTGTTTATATAGCTATCACTACATAATACATGTAAGGAAAATATAATGCTCACCAAATGTAAAATTTAGATATTTTAATTATAATTTTCTTTCTTTCAGAATTACTTACTGTCATCTACCTTTCCAGAGTAAATGGCTTTATGTTGGAACAGAAAGAGGAAATACACATATTGTAAATATTGAATCTTTCATTCTTTCTGGATATGTTATCATGTGGAACAAGGCAATTGAGCTGTAAGTTTGAACTTGGATATCACTTTATTAGCTTAAATACTTTATACAGTTTTGTAACATATAGGCCAAATTATAGTTATTTGATACATCTATTATTAATTTATAATGAATTTGAGTGAAAAGTTTAGTAAAATAACTTAAAGCCATAAAGGCTTTTAAAAATACATATTACAATATTTTAGGCTTTCCAAATACCATAAATAATTAAAATTTATATCTTAAAATTTGATGACAATATAGTAAGGCTTATTCTACAAGTTACTCATGTAAATCTCACTTTGTTATAATCAAGCTTAGTATAGCCACTTTCAGTGAGAGTGAATTGTGTTATGTAAAAATAATCATGACTGCTGCATATGATTTTAATGCTTTTAGCTTTTTCTTTTCTTGCCTCATTAAAATACTGTTCTGGGCTCAAATATCTTTTATGTTATGATATATATGGTTTTTGGGTTATATGATTGATAGTGATTACCACTTGGCTTTGGCACTGATATTTAAGTTTCTGTGCATGTAAAATGTGAAATTCTCCAAATATCATACTTTGTGGAATTTCAAGCCATCTGTATTAGGCTGTTTTGCATCGCTATAAAGGAATCCCTGAGACAGAATAATTTATATAGAAAAGAGGTTTAATTGGATTATGGTTCTGTGGAAGCATGATGCTGGCATCTTCTCAGCTTTCAGGGAGGCCTCAGGAAGCTTACAGTGATAGTGGCAGGTGAAAGGGGAGCAGGCATGTCATATGGTGAAAGCAGGAGCAAAAGGAAGAGTTGTGGGGAGGTGTCACACACTTTTAAACAACCAGATCTCACAAGAATTTACTCATTATTGCAAGAACTCACTTACTATGGCAAGAACTCATTATCACAAGAAGACCCCTCAGGGGATGGTGCTAAACCATTCAAGAGAAATACACCTCCCGTGATCCAAATACCTCCCACTAGGTCCTACCTTCAGCATTAGGGATTGTAATTCAACATGAGATTTGGGTAGGAACGAATATCCAAACTATATAACCATCTATTTGTAGTATATACATAAGCAATTCTTCTAGTAAAATTATTAATCAGAAAAACAACTTTTATTTAACATGTTTATGTTCTGTACATATTAGGTCCTTGATAAGATGTTTACCTTAAAGCGGGCTTATTTTCTGCATCATATTTAGTCTAAGTTACAAAATTATTCTGCAAAATTCTGGTTAAAACACCCTGTTTTTGTGAAGCTTGACTCTGGAAATAAATCTTTTACCTAATCTTAATGTTTTAGTGTGCATGTATGTTGCTTGATAAGGAAGGTTGTTACTAGTTATACTCTTGTCGTGATAGTCCTTTTGTATTATGTCTGAATGGGTCTCTTATTAATGCTCCCTCATTAGATTAGGAACTGCTCCAGAGCAGAATTTTTGTTTATTGTTCTTTTCTTGTTCTTCATAGTTGGCTTATTTCTGTGCTTTCCAAAGTCGATACTAAATTATTAATGACATTATTGAAGCATTAATATGAATACTTGTTATATACGTACTACTCTTGACTTACAGCTCTTATTTATGTTTTCAAGATAATTGGTTTGAGCTATTTTTCTCTTGTTTCGTTGTTCTATGTGAATATTTCTAAAAACATTTATCCATCAACAATTATGTTTCTCCCAAAAGTTACTTTATTAGGTATTTGGGAGGGTCCTTTCCCCCTGTAATTCTAGTCCTATAAAAGCAATAAAGAGGGCAGAATGTAATACTTTTTATATAATATCATTTCAGGATATTGATAAAAATACACAAGCTTAGATAAACAAGAGATGGTTCAGTTATAAAACTTTTAAACAAATTCAATATTAGTAAAACATACATAGATGCATCATTTGTGTTCAGGCTGAATGCTACTAAAGTAATTGAGAAAAATTTATTATCTTAAGCAAATCAAACATTTCACCACTCTTTCGATGTTGTTCCTATATTTATTTACATAACAAATCCTTTAATGGTTCAGATTACCACCTGAACTAATGACTTATACTTTATATTTGTATATTTATATAGTCTCTACAACTTCAAGACTAGTGAAGAGTTTTTAAAAATGTGTCTTATAAGGGAGGCTAAGATCAGGAGAAATTATAGAGACAAAATATGGCATTTTAATTTTCATATTATACATATGATTCAACATTAGAATAGCATCTATTTTACACATAAAACTATGTTTTATAGAGTTGTATATGCCTCTGAAAATGTTCTTGAAATATCTCAGGGAAATTATTAATAAACCATATATCATCACTTCCTGAATGTCTCTTGATTTATTTAGACCAGATTTCCAAACGTATGCTTCATAGAATTCTAATTCTACTGTGATAAATAACATTTTAAATGCCAATTTCCAATCTGCCAGAATTGTCTTTTTATTGCTCTCTACCTCTTGAGATACATTAGAAAATGTATGTAACTTCCTGTTAATATATGTCAAGTGTATGGGACAGTAATAAAATATGCATATAATTAAGACTCATTTAATAAATATAATTTTAGTTCATGAATTTTAACAATATATTTTGTAAGTAGGACAAATGCAAGAATTATCTTTAAAAATATGAGATTGTTCCTATTTTAAGTCCTTATTGAAATACTTTTCATTTAATGTTTATTTTTCAGCTTATTTCTATTTTTAGTGAATTATTCTAATTGTAATTAGAGGCAATTCCCAAGAGTATGAATAGTGTATTTCCAAAATGTGTGTATTGGTTGTTTGGAACCTGGGACACATTCTTCATATAAACAGTGATATTTGCAGAATACCTTATAAAATAACAGTATAGAACTAAACTATCATTAAAACTATTTATATGGGAATTTATATTCCAGATTCTAGCACAAAAAAACAGATATTCTGTAGGGCAGCCCTAACATTTAAAAAAAAAGGAACCTTTTTTTCTACATGTGATTAAAATTGGAGTATGAAATTTATAAACAAATCATAAAAGTGTAAGAGTCATGTTTAACATCATTCAAACATGTTTATTGAGCTCTGTTATTTGATAGATACTAGAAACAACTATGAGCAGAGAAAACATAATTTCTGTACTCCTGGAACTTTCAGTTTAATGAAGACAAAGCTAAGTAAAAAGGCAATTACAATATATTGGTAATATAATATGACAATTTCATAAAAAGGACATCTATTATAATACAGACATGGGATCTCAAAGTGGTATCTGTGAAGGATGTTACATCTATGCTGAGATCCAAGGGATGAGTTTCAGTTAGATGAATAAAATACCAAGGACAAGGACATTCCAGGCAGAGGGAACAGAATATTTAAAGGATGGAATGTAAGATAATTTTCTGTTCTAAGCCCAGAAATTTTAAGTACTATAGTTTTTAGTTTGTTGGAATGTCTTGGAGATAGTATAGCAAGAGATAAAGCTGGAAGGCAATCAGGTTTTATAACATGAAAGGCCTTGTTTGCCAATTTGAGAAGTTTGGACTTTAAGACTAATAGGGAGCTAGATTTTGAGAGTTGTAAGCAGAAATTTGTCTCAATCAAATCTATATTTTAAAAATGCTATGCTGAATGCAGGTATGGAGAAATGATTGGAGATAAAGAGAGACTGTGTTCTTGGTAAAAATTATGTTGATAGTTGTAGGAGTTGAGATAAACCAACATATTAAAGAAATATTTAAAAGAGGGAAGAATAATAGGGAAAAATTAAGGATAACTTCCCAGCGTTTGGCTTGAGCAATGGCTTATGATGGTGCCCTTGTATAAACAGTTGTATAATGGCATACAACCGTGTATAAAGGTATATAATTTAGTGAATGTGCAAGAGATGGAGTAAAATAATAAGCTGAATTTTAGGTCCATTGAATTGTAATGTGTTAATAAGACTTTCAAGTGGAGTTGGTATAGAAGAATGGTAGGAGGCAGGATATATGGATCTGAAGGTGATGAGAGAGATCAGAATTTACAGGATTGTTAAAACCATGAGAACAGATGAAATTGTACATGAAGAGTATGTAGAGAAAATGTAGCAAACTAATAGCCATTGAACTAATTACAACTCATAGATATGGTTTGTTTGGCCATCAGATTATTTAAATATGCTCTGAATTATTATTTTCTAATATTTAAAAACTGGTAAAGCAAAGATAAAAAATTGGACTTTTTGATCAAACAGTCCTAGTCTAGCATTCCTATAGGGCAATAATCAACTGCAACTGAGTAGTAACTTTCTTTATGTAGGTGAGTAATATGCTATCCAGATTGGTACAGTTCTTATTCAGCCTATTTATCATACTTGCAATATCTGCCTGGTTCCTGGGCTTTGTGACCATATGTATAGCAGTCTAGGACAGGATACCATGGAATATCAACATTTAAGATATGGAAAGACAATGAAAAGTTCATAATGGAAACTAATATCAAAAAGACTACTTTAGTGAATGGGAGAAAAAGAACTAAATAGGGATACCTAGAAGAATTACCGCACATTTATTTAGGTAGCTAGTGCATGAAAATAGTTCACTGATGATTCTATCTAAAGTAATTTTTTTGTAATTTTCAGAATCCAGAGTCTACAGATGCTTTTTTATTTTTAGGTCAATTTCTTATGACCATAAGTTTGGCCAGGAGTGCTTTGTGGGTTGTGGAAGTTTAATATTAGGGAACAAGCCAGAAGAAATATCCCAAAATGTTAATAGGCATTATCTCTATACAGTGAAATAATGTGAATGCTTTTTCCTCTTCACTTTTGATGGGTTTTATGTTTCTTTAAGACAATAAGTAATGTTTCTTCCAGAGTCTGAAAAAGTAACTACAAATAACAGAAGTTTAATGCTAGATTACTTTCAGAGCTAGAATATTTTATAGTTTAAGAATCTAAACAAGAATCTTGTATGTGACCCAAGTAGTGTTTCTCAAAACAAATTTCTATGATTTCATTAATATGATCAATGAAAAAGGATTTAATGGACTAATACTTTTGTAAAGAACTGAAGAGTTACAATGCTCATTTGGCTCTAAGAAATTCTGTAGGGGAAAAAATATTTAACTTTGTTTAATTCAGGGTTTCCCAAACTTTTAAAATACTAACTTACCATTTTGGTAAGTGTTACTTCAGTCAAACCAAGAGACAGAGAGTTTATGGTTTGTTGGCTTTTATGAATTCCTAGAAGATAATTTAAAGACATTAACCCTTATCAGAGGCATGTATACCTTTACAGAACACAGCATTTATGTATGAATGATATGTTACATATAAATGTGGAAAGAGTTAAAGCTAGTTTTATACTATACATACATACATACATATATATATATATATATATATATATAT